AAATGGCTAGTACAACTCTTGAAACCATTGCATAAGGAGGTTGTAAAGCATAGCGTCAAAGATACTTTTCACTTTATCGATAAAATAAGAGATTTGAATGTGAATAATAAGTCGATGATATCCTTAGACGTATCATCCCTATTCACAAATGTCCCTCTGATGGAAACAGTGGACTTCATATGTAGCGAACTGGAAAAGAGAAACATAGAAATTGGAATTACGGCATCCACCTTGAAAGAGCTTCTCTTACGATGTACAATGAATGTACACTTTCTCTTCAATAAGGAATTCTATAGACAGTCAGACGGTGTCGCTATGGGGTCACCACTAGGCCCAATCTTAGCGGATTTCTTCTTAGCAAAATTAGAAAATGGCCCTCTGGAAAGCATCATAAGCGGGTTAGAATTTTATTGCCGTTATGTAGATGATACATTCTTGATTGTGAATAACGTGGACGATGCAAGGATCATACTGGATGAATTCAATGGCGTCCATCCAGCAATAACCTTCACTATTGAAACAGAAAGTGACGACAGCATCACCTTCTTAGATGTCCGATTGACAAGGAAGGTGGATGGAACTATAAAAAGAAGTGTGTATCGGAAACCAACGTCAACAGGTCAATACACCCACTTCTTGAGTTTCGTCCCCTTGCAATATAAACGAAATCTCGTTAAATGTTTGGTCCATCGGGCGAGACTCATCTGTTCAGATGATACTTTTGACGAAGAGCTTCAAATTATCCACGATCTACTCAGTAGTAATGGATATCCAGAAACGTTCCTGGCTAAAAATATGAACACATCCAATATGAAAACCAGAATGCCTACAGTCTCCAAGAAACCATTGTTCCTAAGACTACAATTTCGAGGTGACATCATCAGCGAAATTGTGACACAACGCTTAAGAAATGCCATAAGAAGATCATTTAATGCCGCCAAGTTATGTTGTGTTTTCTACAGCCGGCCGATGATGACCACACGAACTAAAGACAGACTCCCTGACTTCTCCTCTTCTATGTGCATTTACCAGTTCAACTGCTCCTGTGGAGCTAGTTACATTGGACGTACAGTTAGGCAAGTCCGTCGTCGAATCGCCGAGCATCATCCTTCATGGCTAAGTAAGGGGGAAACCAGACTGACACGAAGCTCAATACTCTCTCATCTGATTGACACCGGCCACCGAGTTAACATTCATAATGCCTTTAAAGTTATTTATCACATTCCTTCTCACCTCACCCATCCTCTACGAGTCCGTCTTTTACATACAGCAGAAGCCATAGGAATCCACCTACACAAGCCAAGTCTGTGTGTTCAGAAGAGATTCGTACAGCCTCTTTCTTTGCCTTGGCCATCTGTATAGCTCATTTATTACAACAAGACTCTTCATTTCATCCACCACACAATTCACTATAACTAGTATTTCAATAGCTCCATTATTATTATTATTATTATTACAGACTTAACCATCTTTCTCTCCCCCTACTGTCTCTAATTACCGTCAACAATTTACCATTTTACGTAACAGTTCATTTTTGCTCTTTAGTTATCATTATATAAAATATCAATTATGTAAGAACCTGTTCACAAAATCTTTCTACGATAATTAATCTTTGCTTTAGTTAACTGTCTTAATTACCTGATCAATTATCACCTTCTTGATACTTTGAGATTGATAACCTTTCATTGAACAACTCTCACCACTAGATTGGTATGTAATTTTACGTTTGAAAATGCTATATTAGTGTAGAGCCATTGATGAGGAACTAATTGAAAAGAAATATTTCTTCGTTCGCATTGTTTGTTTTACTAAGTGAGAAAACAATGGGAAATATTCCTTAAGGGATCATTTTTGCCAATCGGTTTTTATTTAGGTCAGTCATAGCAGTGCATCGTAGTTCCATATTTATGAAGGATGATTAGGAAGTGTTGAATAAAGAATATTTGTGAGAAAATAAACATATTTATCTTTTAAAACTAAACAAATTTGCCGGTAATCTTGAATTTCATATTGAACTTATGGGAGAGAAAAATGTGTCAAACAATCTGTTGTAAGATCTACTCAAATAATTCTATTTTAAAACTATTCTACGCAATCAATTCATGTCCACTGATGGAAGAGATACACTGACTAGTTATATTTTTTTTTAACGATTCGTTATTTTCATTATATTTGAGGCCAGTTTCCAACGGTTTTGAGATCATTGAGCTGAATAGTTTAATTGTGAAGCTTTCATTATTTTTCTAGATAACACTATCACTGCACACTTTTAACTGATTCCTGGAGGTTTTGCCTAGGAAGTCAATGAAATCTTCGCGGTCAGTACACTCAGTGTTATAGTGTAGTTAAATTGACTAAATCTTCATAAGAAGCCGTGTATCCCTAAAGTCTTTGATAGCCAGTCGTTCCAGTCAGAGGTTTAAGCGAAGAACTATGTGAGACTTTTCAGCAGTGAGCACCCCCACCACCAGAGAGCCAACCCAGCACCTTCACGCCTCGTGATCATCACATTACCATTATCCGAGTGGGTTGGAGTCTAATGGTTGATATTTCTAACTTCTGCCAGTTTGCCACACAGCGCCGTCATCACTTAGTGTCATTGTTGGGTATTTATCCTCACAACCATCAGGTTTGCCCCACTTGTCATAACTTCTCATTGAAACTTCAGGAATCCTCTCTCAACACTAGTCACTAGTAAGCACTAGATTAATTGAATTTTGGGGTTTGTGAGGATTTAGAGGTGATTCTTTATATTCTAATGAGAAGTTGTGACAAGTGGAGTCAACCAAGTTGAACATGAGGACAATTGTTCAATGACGACAGTGGATGTAGGTCGCGCTGTGTGGTGAATTGATAGAAATAGGAAATATGAACCACTGGATTACAACCAGGTCATGCAATGATAACGTAGTGGCCAAGGAACCTGAAGGTTCCGGGTTCGATCTCTTGCGGGGTCACGGGTGCGCACTTCTGGAGAGTCTCATAACAGGACGAAACAGCTTTCCAGGGTTCCCAGGTTTCTAGTGTTCCTCCAACTGATGTCAGTCCATGACGAAAACCCACTCAAAAGTTTAAAAAAATGTTTCGTGATCTCCACAAACCACCAAATTCATAAGCAAATGAACCAGCGTGTAAACATCCGACTGGTTGAAAAGACGAAAGTCAATAGGATATTCAAACCTAGAAAGACCTTGAAATAGCGAAGGCTATTGTAAGTAAATATAAACTATGGATGACTTCAAAGGCCTCCCTAGCAGCAATCGAAATATCCAATCAGGCATCTTCATTTCGGCTGGAAAAGAAGATTTTCGTAAAATAGAGAAATTGAAATAGTTATTAGAGATGTTGCCAGGGTAGATTTCGAAATCACTCTCAAACTATTGTATTTTGTATATGTTTCTTGACGTCTCTCTTAACCTTCGTTATATAACCGCCTTTCCATTAATCTAGAAAACCGAGCGACAATCAGAGGGTGGAATCTGAAGGTTGTTGTTCATGGCTATATCAAGTAGATACTACGAGAATATAAAAAGGGATAACATGGTTATAAAATCTAGTTTTAAAAAACGTGCACTGGTACCACCTTACCATTTTAGAGCAAGTTTTGGTAAGCCATGAAATAAGCCCATTTAATCATGTGAAATAAGCAGAAAATGCCTTTTCGACGCATTCGCATAACGGACGGTTAAAACATTCTAAAATAACTGTTACCGATCGTTCAGGAGTCGAAATACACTGGATAATAACAGGAAATTTACGTAGAATGTGCTGGACAGCGGAAAAGAACCTAGAAGATTTGGATTTTGCCGAGGACTTATGTCTAATGTCACACAAACCGGAAGGTCTACAGACGAAATCCAACAAAATGACAGAAGAGGTGAGGCGAGGCAGAGAAGACACTACTTCAAGTGAATATAGAGAAGACAGAGGTGATGAAGATACCCAAACAACACCACCAACAACAACAAGCTCCAATCACCATCAATGGCAGAAACTTAAAGGAAGTAGCCTCTCCCACCTACACCTGCTTAGGCAGGACTGTTTCAACTGCAGGTGGTGGCGGCACAGATGAGGATGTCAAAGTCAGGATCACAAAGATAGTAAGACAGGCGTTCATTAGCCTGAAATCAGTGTGGAGATCTACTTCACTGCACTCAGCATAAAGCGTGAACAATACCTGGATTTTCAACACCAACCACAGTCAAGTCAGTGCTTCTGTATGGCTCAGAGACTTGGCGCGTTACGAAAGGCATTTCCAACAAACTACACACATTCATCAACAACTGCCACCTACACTGCCTCGTTACTGAAGATCAGATCAGATGACCAGAATGATGAAAATCAGCAACAAGAAACTCTGGGAATGAACCAACGAAGTAAAACCTATCACTCAACAAATATGCAGTGGAAGGAAATGTAGATGGATTGTGTATACAGTGAGAAGGCGGACTGGGGACATCACGGGTCCTGCCAGGGTGTTGAGTGGAACCTGGATAGGAAACGACGAGTTGGGCTCCGAGATGAGGGTGACATGGAGGAGATGGTGTGAGGAGGAAATGAGAGTTTGTGGGCAGTCTTGGAATCAGGTTGAAAAGATTGCAGAGAAGACAGTGGAATGAAGACTTGCTAGTGAAGCCATATGTTCCATTAGGAACCCAAGGGACAAATAGTAATAATAATTTTACATCAAAGAATGTACACCATGACTCTGAGTCTCCTAGGTTGGTGACTACATAACGAAATGATCGACTGAGCTAAGTCGTTACTTAAAACTAACTTATTCTATATCTGTTATTCTGTTGTGACCACTCAATGATCGTAAGCTGCTGTACACATAGTGAAAACTTCAACTAGACATTTCTATATTGATATATTTCAACTCCTTAGTTGTTTATTAATTTCACTTCTGCTTTCATGTTATGTGGTAAAGCTTTTTATCACCAATTTTTCATCTATATACTTAATAGTATTTTTACATTATTTTTCTTATATTTTAACAGAGTTGAAAACTACTCAAGCTCCCGCCAGCATCTCACCATCTGTACAACAACAAGAACAACAAGAAACTTCTGGCTGGACTTGTCATTGTGTACAGAATGTTTTCAAAACTTCATTATCATTTACAACAAAAAAATCAAGGCCATATTATCAAAAATTTAGCATTAAATATATATGTTATCATTTAGGTTATACATTATGCTTAGGCTTAAAGTTTATCTTCACTTTAATATGTCTTATCCCAGCGTGTTCATGTCATTGGTTATGCGGAAATCATAAAATTAAAGGTGTTCAAAGAAGTAGAAGTTTTTGTTTTATTTATATGTTACAGTTAAATTATTATATCTTGCAAATATATTTGGACAAATATACTTGATGAAGGTATTTTTAGGTGTGAAATCTTATTTTTCGGTATATATGTTCTATATGATTTAATTCAAGGAAATGTATGGAGTGAAACAGGACATTTTCCACGTGTAACTTATTGTGATTTTGAAACGAAAAAATTGGGTAAAAATTATAAGTGAGTGAATGTAAAAGTTTTTATCTAATTTTTATTATTTAATACCCATGTTTAAATATTGATAAAATGTATTTGTATATAAATTTTCATTATGAACATTTCTGGTATACAACTTAATAATATACTTTTTCAACTTGAACTATGTCAAATGAAGCACTGTCACTTGTCTGGTCTGAAACTACGAGCTGAGCCAAAAACCTGGAGTAACTAATGAGATTGTCAGATGACTTAAACGGCAGGAAAGACTATGACTCACTTGAGGTAACTGAATACCACACCAGTATGTATATGCCAGAGTATCGATATGAAAATGCCATACACGGAACCGTCAGGTTGTAATGATGGCCAGAGAAATCAGAGATGATGTGTTCATAGGTCGAGACTAGTTACGCATCATCTATGAGGCTCTACGTAGTCCCGCTGGATAACAACCAATCCATCGTCAGAGTTGACTTAGTGATAACCTGGTCGATGACAGCCATGTGTGAAGATAAGTGGTATGGGTTACCAAAGTACGGACAACCTAGTCAAGTGTCAATAGTCTACTGAGTACATTAAGATTAGTGCAACCAATTTTAAGGGAATCCAGCTTCCTAATTCTAATGGTCACTGTTCATTGAAGCATTCTGTAGAGGAGAGCGTAGTCTGTCTTATGAAGACAGGCTGTATTCTGTCGTCTGTTCCAACTCAGGCCATAACGGTATTCTTGCAGCAGTCACTGTGTGTGAAATTTCGGTGAGCGTGAGATAGTCTTCTGTATCATTGTGAAGACTTAGTAAAACGTGTCCCATGCATATATAGCCAAGAGAGAAGAGTAGAGTTAAACAACCTGGTTACCCCGCTAATAAGCATGGGTGAAAACTTGACAGTTGGGAGGTTCTGCAATTATAATGATAATTTTTGGGGGTAGTGTTCACAAACTTCCAGTGTTCTTCGACGCAGGTTTCTTCAGGGATGTCGCCTAATGTCTCTTATTTTTTCCTGATGGCTGACTGGCATGAAGATGTCCTCTGTAGTTCCGTACTTCAGTTTATGTTCCATGTGTTGAACTTGAACTGTGGTCTGTCACAAGCTTCTTTGGATTAAAGGCTTTCAACTTGATTTGGAAGGTTCCTTGCACTAGATAGTGAGTGGTGTCAGCCTACATCTACTTCCCTTCTGCATCTGATCTTGTGTCCAGTAGACTGCATCTTCACTTTCTTCATATTGAGATGAAGTCGATCTGATTTTTTGTGCAGTGTGTCCATCTGGTGAAATCAAATCCATGTCGCTCGCTTTGTGAATATCCTTGTGTTTGTACACACTGACCCCAATCACCAAATCGTTGAATGCGCAGATGTCTGCAAACACTCCTACATTCTCATTCATCATTTCACCGAGTGCTTCTCAATCCATGATTGGTTCTCTTCCTTAGTTGTCCACTCCCAGTTTAGCATTCATGTCGCCCATTGGAATTTCGATGTCGTCATCTGGTGTGGGATCTTGACCAGTACTGACTGCAGTTGTCGGTAGAATTCCCTGCTTCTTCTCTTTATCTGCATTATTTGTAGGTGCGTGACGTAGCATTGTATGACATTGTATGTGACCTTCCTTCCTTTCCAGTTGAATCCATCTTGCTGTCATGGTCCTGTAGGAGGAGATTGGTTCTCACCACATGAGAGCCTTCAATGCTCTTGTGGACATCATGACAGCCACTCCGTAACTCGATGTGCTCGTGGTTGTCGTTTGCCTGACAATATCAGAGTACACTATTGATTCTCCAGTTGACAGTTTGGAGAGTCCACTTCCACTACATCTGCTGATTACTAGCCTAGCACTTCTATTATATACCTTCTCATCTTTTTAACAATCTTGGTAGCCTTGTCAGCCAGCTACAAACATTGTTCAGATACTCCATGTCCCCATTCTTACTTTTGCTTTCATGGAGAGTAGAGAAGACACATCGACCAACTGGCTTGCCGAAGGCAGGCTTTCATCAACCAGAGTTATTTCGTCTCTTGATTCCAGAGAGGAATAAGTTTGTTTTTTTATGTGTTATATTTTCTTTGTGCTTTGAAGTTTCTTTAGCGATTGGATTGGTTTTACTGGATAGGGTAAGGTTGTTAGCCCTATGCTCAACCTTCCCTCTTTATCCAGGCTTAGGACCAGCTGGTAGCTAATGAACTAGCTAACTGTGCATGTTTAGTGGATTGGTATGCGCAATACATTTCCGAGCCAGCTCGGTCGACTAAGGTTCACAACCTTTTCAGCAGACTTGCCTGTCTTGCCTAGTACCCTTCACCTACCCCAACACTGCTCATACGGTGATTCTACTAGATGCAAGCAATGCTAAGAAGACACCTGTTATCAGAATCCTGTAATCGCTTCATGTTGTCTACTTAAAATGGCTATGTTTACTAGCCATATAACAGAAAGGAAAGGACTCATCCTCTGTTAAGTGGTCAAATATCTTGTCATTCAGAGCTCCAAGTAATGCAAGTTGGTAAATATCAAACATGCCTTCCGCACCCGAGCTAAGATTTCTTCGCCAACCCCATTAGCCCGTCTAATGCAACTCCTCAAGTCAGTGAAGTAGTCTATATATCCCACTATTTTACTCCCTATCATTACACTGAGAGTCACTGCACATCAATCCTGCAGCGTCAGCTTACATTTGACAAGTGCAAAACGCATACCAAACAATGGCATGGCATAGAAGTTCTAGGCTAGGAATCAGCAGATGTAGTGGAAGTGGACTCTCCAAACTGTCAACTGGAGAATCAATAGTGTACTCTGATATTGTCAGGCAAACGACAACCACGAGCACATCGAGTTACGGAGTGGCTGTCATGATGTCCACAAGAGCATTGAAGGCTCTCATGTGGTGAGAACCAATCTCCTCCTACAGGACCATGACAGCAAGATGGATTCAACTGAAAAGGAAGGAAAGTCATAATCATACGATGCTACGCCACGCATATTACTGTCTGAGAAGAGATCAACGCAGATGAAACTAATGAAAGATAGTTAATGAAACTTAGTCACCTTCAAAGAGGAGAAGCAGAGGCTGATCACTTCAAAAAAACTCTCGAATCGACCACCAAAACCACATGCAACTCATCCAGAAATACCACCAGCAACCGCAGAATTACCAGTGAACACAAACTCTCCGATAAAAGCAGAAGTGAAGTCCTGACCGCCATAAAGTTGCTGAAATCCAAAAAAGCAGCAGAACCAGATGGAATTCCTCCAGAAGCACTGAAAACAGATGCAGAGATAACAGGGAAAACGCTCACACCACTATTGCAGCAGGTTTGGAAGGAAGGAAGGCAAGAAAGGTGCCCTCAGATTGGGAGAAGGGCTACCTTGTCAAACTGCCAAAGAAGACGACCTAAGTCTTTGTAGGAACTGGTGCGAAATCATTCTGTTGTCCCTGTCCACCCAAGCGAAATATTAGGCCTCATCATCCTGGAGAGACTTAACAATGCTCTGCATTCGAAATCACCACCGGAGCAGGCTGGCTGACTGGCTGGATTCAGGAAGAATAAATCATGTGTGGACCAAATTGCAACGCCACGCTACGCATTATCATAGAACAGAGTATAAAATAGCGGTCAACTCTCTACCTCAACTTCATCTACTTTGAAAGGCCTTCGATAGCGTCGACCGAGAAGTAATTTGGCTGGCAGCTGCTTCAACACTACGGTTTAAGTGCCACAAACCTTTATCAACCTCATTCAACAGCTATATGAAGACGCCACATGCCAAGTGATTCACAAATTGAAGTTCAGTGATGTCCCTGTAGTGAGGACAGGAGTTAGGCAAGGTTGCCTCCCACTATCACCCATGGTCTTCAGGATTGTAGTTGAGTGGATTATGTAACAAACTGTGAGGAGCAAAAAGAGGGACAAACGCTGTTTGACTGATGAAAGACCCTGGGAGATTTGGATTTCGCCAACGATGATGAATTATGTCTAATGTCTTCTCGCAAAGACTACAAAATCTACAGGCGAAAACCAAAAAGTTGACCGAAAAGGTGGGGCAGCGAAGGCGGGACTTCCTCCAAGTGAAAGTAGAGAAGACAGACGGGTTGAAGATACCCAACCAACAACCGCATCAACAACAAGCACCAATCACAATCAACGGGAGAAACCTGAAGGAAGTTGTTTCTTTCACATAGCCAAGCAAGGCAGCATCTTTTCACCTACAGGCAGCGGTGGCACAAATGAGGATGTCAAAACTAGGATCCGAAAGACAGCAAGACAGGGCTTCATTAATCTGAAATAATCAGTGTGGAGATCTACTGCACTCAGCACAATGCGTGAACAACATACGGATTTTCAACACCAATATCAAGTCAGTGCTGCCATGTGGTTAAGAAACTTGACGCGTCACGGAAAGCACTTCCAACATTCTACAGGCATGCATCAACAGCTGCCACCTACTCTGGCTCGATACTGAATATCAGATGGCCAGAATAATGAGAATAAGCGAGCAGCGAGGAACTCTGGCAACGAACCAACAAAGAACCCATCACCCAACAACTATGCAGAAGAGGAAAGTGGAGATGGATTGAGCATACACTGAGAAGACCGACTGGGGATATCACGTGTCAGGCCAAGCTGTTCAGCGGAACCCAAAGAGGGGACGACGAGTTGGGCGTCCGTAGGTGACAGGGGAGATGATGTGAGGAGGAAATTAAAGCTTGTGGGCAGTCGTTGAGCCAGGTTAAGAAGACTGTAGAGGAAAGAGTGAAATGGAGAGGTGCTATTGAAACCCTGTGTTTCACTAGGAACCCAAAGAACAAATATTATTAATAATAATAATAGTAAATAATTAAATAAAACTTCAGGTAAAGAAATGTGATCAACTAACTAGCTAAGAGACTAATCATCTCAGTACACTTTTACTTCTGTCACGTTTTTGGAAACCCTCCTTAACTTAGGTTTCATACTTTTGGCATTCATCAGCAAGGTTTATCTATAATATTAAGGGAATTGGTGTGCTTCAAAGATTGGGGG